AGTCGATATAAAGGGAGCCCCCTCCCCGCTTCTTCTGACCCCTCCTTTTAATTTATTTGGTGTTTTGTTGCATTTATGGGACACCGTGATGGGTCCTGCAGCTCCTGGGGGACCGGCGGGTGTGTGCATGGTGCGGGGAGGGGAGGGGATGCGGCATTACCAGCAAGGACGGTGATAGTGGGGTGGGCTTCCCTCCCACGCGTGAGGCCGGCCAGTGAGGGGGAAACACCCCCCCACACACACACCCCCGCCTGAGAAGCCGCCTCCCTCCGCATCCCGACTGCATTTCCCAGGATCACACAGAGGATTTGCAGCTTTCGGGACTCATCTGCGGCTCCACAGCCGCCGCGCTGTTTTTTACCCCACGGGTGAACCCTCCCCTCTTCACTGGGGGAACAACAGGACGGGAGTGAGAAATCTCACGGGTATCGGGGAGCTTGGGAGGGAGGAGACATCGTTAGGGCTGGATGGTGTTGGGGGACACCCCGGAGCCCCGCTTTTACCTTTTCCCCTGCCAGGTAAAGGTCTCACCGCTGGCGTGGGAGCCGCACCGATGGGATAAATCTCTCTGAAGGAGGACGGGATTCTCACCAAACACCCCTCTTCTCCCCCATCCCCGAAATGATGCTCCACGGAACAGGGTACCCCGGGGTCTGAGCCGCGGAGGGCTGGGAAGACAGCCGACACCTCCAACTGCATCGAAATCCCTTGGGGCCCCGGATTAAAGCTGTTACAGCAGTAAATTAAAAAAAAAGAAATCCAACAACAGAAAACACAGCCCCAAACCTGGACGTTTATACAGAAAAAGAGCATCACAAATTCCTAATGTAAGCACCGGCCAGCTGTGTGCACTTGTAAAGTTGTTATAATCCCCCTCCTTGTTATAAACAGGAAAGTACATAATATAAAGCAACAGGCCCGCACTCACAAATACCGTCCCTCCTCCCCGCCCCTGCCAAATTCCCCTTTTCCGAAGCTCGCTGCAGCCCCCAGGCGTCTTCCTCGGCTCGGCCCTGCCCTCCCGGCCCTGAGCCCGGTGCTCGCCCCCCCCCGCTCCCGGGTGGCCGGTGGCGATGGGGGCGA